ACGGCAACAGCAGTTATCAGTGTTCACGTCTGATCTGACAGCCACTAAATGTCAAATCAGGCTAAAGTCGTGCTTCAAATGGCCCCGCCCGTTTTTTGGGCGATTTCAGTCAGGTTGAAATCGCCCAGAAGTCTCTCATAGCCTGTCATGTAAAATCTATTTTTCACATTTCAAAGCTTTCAATACATTCTCTATGGGTGTCTTGTGGGCTTGCACTTACGCGCTTTCGTCATACATAACGTAACCACGAATGAACGTAACTAAGAAAAGACCAGGTAGCAGCCTCAATCAATTCACTACTACTATCAAAATGGCTAGGCTTCAGTCCAACTCGATTGTGTCTTTGAAAGAAGTTCCTTTTTGTCGGCGAACAAATTAAGATAAATTGGCAACGAAACAATTAGGACCTCCCAGACCAAATTTAATAATTCAACAGGTTTCTACTAAAGGCGGAAAGTCCTACACCCGAGGATTTTCCAAAAATTGGTACGAACGAAAAAAGACATTGCCACTCACTCAACTGGATGACGAGGGATACAGGCTAGCTGTCCGCCGCCACAACGATGAGGTTAGTGTTGATAATCACAAGTTTACTGGATGTGGATATGGTGTAATAAAGGCAGTTTATTCAGAGGTAAATATATCTGGAATCGCGTTCACGGACCCGTTCGTCAAACTCTTAGGGAGCTATACATTAAGCCCCATTACTTACCATATCAGATAAGAGAAATTGCTGCAGCTACATATATTTTACATCCTGGCCCTACATAGTTCACTATTTGCATCACTTACCAAAATATTACATGTGGTCATATATGCTTGGAAAGTGGAGATGCCATAGAACGTCAAAAAAGTAAACATTGCTGGAGACACATTGTCGTTTTGGAGAAGACATCGCGTTTGCTAGCGAAGAGATTTGTTGTGGCAAATGAACTTGGCCTGGGAATTGCCAGGAACCTCACGATAAGATATATGCATCAGCATTGCGAGTCTCATGATTCTATACGTATTGCGATTCGATACTGTGATTTTATTGCGCACCATATGTCTGTTGCAGAGGGATCAGAAAGCCATGAGAACGAGTTTTGATCAGTCATGGAAATAAAAGTGCTGAAAACTAATTGGCTCCCAATGTGAAAAGATTGAGAACAAGCTATGAAGGAACAATAATGGTGTTTTGGTGCAGGTACAGCCAACTAGCGCTAAAATATTGCGATATTGTCAATACAGTATATCGTAAAGTATCACTATGTAACTCGATTTCTTTCACCCCAATCCCTCAAATTAACGGTAAATAACTGAATTGTTTGCCCCACATTTAGCTAAGATGATTAGCTAGCCAGCTAAAATGTTTTATTTAGTTAGCAGTCGCATCTACAATAGTTTACTGTCAATAACATGTCTCCAAAAATGACGTGGTGTCTCCAATTGTGTTGACATTTTACAATTGCAATGCGCATCCATGAGTATCCACTTTCTGTAGCTCAGCTGGTAGAGCATGGTGCTTGTAACGCCAAGGTAGTGGGTTCGATCCCCGGGACCACCCATACGTAAAAATGTATGCACGCATGACTGTAAGTCGCTTTGGATAAAAGCGTCTGCTAAATGGCATATTATTATTATTATTATTATTATCTGAAGAGAGCCCCGAAACATTGTGTGCAGACATTTTATGCAATAAATGAAGTAGGTTCAATCTAGTAGTTCTGATCTTCTGATTGGTCCTGATGAGTTGGGCGAGGTCACCTCCAGGCTACTGTCACTGTTGCATTGGCTCTGAGTCGGGTTCTCTGTCTTCAAATGTTCAGCCTAAGAGAGGGGATTTTTGTGTGTGTGTGTGTGTGTGTGTTTAACAGTGATGATGTGTGTGTGTGTGTGTGTGTTTAACAGTGATGATGTGTGTGTGTGTGTGTGTGTGTTTGTGTGTGTGTGTGTCCTCAGAGCAAGAACTCGTGAGTTGGAAGAACTGAGAGGCCTATGGCGTGGGTGTTGTCCTTGGCCACCTGCTGACAAGGCTGACAAGATAGGACCCTTTTGTCCATTGTTATTGGATAGGAACAGAACTTATAACCAGCTCCTGACCTAAATAGATCTTAGCACAACATTTTACTCAACATATCATATTCCATATTCACTATAACAAATATATTTACTACGACATTAGCAAGAACCGCCACATCCTCAGCCGGCTAATCCAGTGTGTGAAGTTTTGCGGAGTGTTTGAGTTAGCTTTGCGACAAAGATGAACGGTCCACAACCTGTAAGCCAACACTTTTGAGATCAGTCAATAAATCTTTGGTGACTTAATCTGCCCCTGTTTTCATTTGTTGTGGACATACATTTTTTAAAGTGTGTAGGCACTAAATCATCAGAAAATGACTCTGAGAATTTTTAGAGCGCCATGCATCCTAGACAGCGGATCCAAAGTGACAATCATCCATTGGTCCCAGAAGACCGCACCCCTGCAGCAATCATAGAGATGACTTGAGTGAAGTGCCGGGTCCCTGGTGTCAAAGCCACCTGTCGAGCCCTTGGGCTGTGGAGGTGACATTGTCTGACGTCCCAAACTGTGCAGACGTTACATTAGGAGTTCCCCCAGAAGCGTAGCCTAATGCCTTTGTGAACCTCACAGCTGCCTTAGCTGGATGTTGCAGAGCTTGAGAGAGCCCAGCACAGTGACCCTGTGATATCCGATGTCATGGGAGCTTTAAAAACAGGAAGAAAGCCCTCCACCAGAGCCGCTCTACAGTCTGAGGAGGCCGTCTTGATGAGGTCCTGGGATTTGCTCTCTATGGAACAAGGTGTGCTCTACAGACTCCATAGAGGCCCCAGTCAGGTCAAGAGAAAGCAGCTGGTTCTCCCCAAATAATTCAGAGCCATGGTCATGAAGTCTCTCCACAATGATATGGGACATTTAGGTTATGAGAGGACTCTTGATCTAGCCTGTGCTCGGTTCTACTGGCACTTCATGTTCAGAGACATTGCGTTTCACTGCAAGTCATGTGCAAGGTGTGTGCAGCTGAAGACTGCTCACTAGATCAGCACCTTTAGCGAACATCACCACCCCTAGAGCTGGTGTGTATATACTTATTCTCTCTGGAAAATGACACAAAGAACATCAGTAACATCCTCGTAGTAACAGATCACTTCACTCGCTACGCCCAAGCTTACGCCACTAAAGACCAGCCAGTGTGCTTTGGGAGATGTTCTTTGTCCGTTATGGCCTGCCTTCCCACATAAACTCTGATCAGGGCAGAGATTTGAAAGTAGACTCATCAGGGAGGTCCTTCAGCTGGCTGGGTGAAGAAGTCACGTACACTACCGGTCAAAAGTTTTAGAACTTATTTTTATTATTTTCTACATTGTAGAATAATAGTGAAGACATTAAAACTATGAAATAACACATATGGAATCATATAGTAACAAAAAAAGTGCTAAACAAATCAAAATATATTTTATATTTGAGATTCTTCAAATAGCCACCCTTTGCCTTGATGACAGCTTTGCACACTCTTGGCATTATGTCTTCACTATTATTCTACAATGTAGAAAATAGTAAAAGTAAAGAAAAATCCTTGAATGAGTAGGTGTTCTAAAACCTTTGACCGGTAGTGTACATTGCCATACCATCACTTCACCTCATTACAGAGTGTTTTCTTGCACCACACGTCTCATACTGTACTTCTGAGAGTTTTTTGGTTTGAGGGTGTGTTTTTATATGCCTTTGCTCTACTGTTGCGTAGTGTTAAGAGAAGTTATAGCTCAAGGTGTGTTGTAAACTGTGTTATGTGTCAAATTCATTGTGATGCCTAATCTTATGCTTTATGTATCACTTGCCGGGAAGTCAAGTTTTCCTAGTAAGGGGTGAATGTAACCTCCTGTAAAGACTGGGTTTAGTTCATTATTTGTGGCAATGTCCTCATTCATGAACTGCCCGCATCCCCGTACAAACTGTCCGCATCCATGAACGGTGTGGCGCAAAGTAGATTGGGCGGGTACGCGCAAATTGGACAGAGGTGATCTTGGAGAACAATGACGGAGTTCGCTAGAGTGTTGCGACACCTACGTTTATTGTTCATTTTGCTTTTGTTTAATAGGCCAGGACAGTATGAGTGTACGTAACTCCTTTTCACTCGCTATACTTGTTTAATGTTGTGGTTCACCGGATTTGTCATCATCCTCAAGGGACAGACGAAAAACCTTCTGGCTAGCCAAGCTAGTCAGTACAGCTAGCTAGCTACTCAACCCGCAGCATCATAGTGATCCTACCACTACATCATCACTGGCTGCCTTCAGTTATTGTGCAAGTTACCTCACGGCACCAATGTAACAGTTTAGCTTCCGTCCCTCTCCTCGCCCCACCCTGGACTTGAACCCTCTGGACACATCGACAACTGCCTCCAACAAAGCACCTCTACCTATCGCTCCACAAAAGCCGCAGCATTTGCAGAGCAAGGGAAACAACTACTTCAAGTTCTCAGAGCGAGTGACTTCACCGATTGAAACGCTACTAGCGCGCACCGCTAACTAGCTAGCACTTCACACAGGTTACAGTTGTAACACTTTTGCTCTCAAATAGAATATGTGATATAATATGACGTTTCCAATACAAGGATGTTCAAATTGAGAATTCCTCGTAACAGTTTAAAAGGTTAAAGGGATAGTTCAACCAAATTACTAATACAATTTATCTTGAGGATTGCTATAGAGCAGGGGTATTCAACTCTTACCCTACAAGGTCCAGAGCCTGCTGGTTTTCTGTTCTAGAGTTGAGGGCTATAGAGAGTAGTAAATTGCCTTTCAAAAGCAAAATTATCGACAGAGCAATGCGCTTGTCAACAATGCGCATATGATTGAATCATGACCCATGTTTCAAAGTTATACAGTGTTTGTTTACAATTACATTGTTTATAAACAATGGAGTAAAATTAACTTATATGTTGCGTTCTGATGGGGTACGACAGATTACCTGAGCATTTTTACATTATACTCTTCAAGAATCAATGGTTATAGTGTTTATTTAAAATACTAAACATGTATGTACCAATCACACACTATAGCTTTCAGCTGTTGTAATTACAGCATTTATTAAGTGTCACAAATGTAGACATTCCACTTGCAATCAACACTCCCTTGATGCCATACAGAACAAAATATTTCACTACATACATGAATATGTGTTCTATGCTGCAGGCATGTAAAAAGAACCTTCGAGAGTATAATATTTTTTTTTATTTAACCTTGGGAAAAATACTCAGTAAACTGAAATGATGTTAAATGCTTTATTTGTCATTAGTATTAAATCTCCAGTATTAAAGGTGGATGTTGAACTGCACAGGATGTTGGTAGAGTTGTGGGACCGTGCTGGAGGATCGAAGCTAGGATCAGACTTAGTAGGTGGCCATGGTGCTGGTCAGCCAGTCGTTGAAGATGCACACCTGGAGGAAGAGAAGGAGAAGGGAGATATTAGTAGACACACTCAATGGGAGGCAACATGAGAACCATCAATCTATGTTTAATAGACTCAATGTCTTTTTCTTTTGGGAAACCAAGTGATGTCACAGTGATGTATGTATGTTGATGTTTTCCTCAAACACAACAGGAAAACTATTTTTCTGTCTTACCTTGGCGTAGACACCGGGGTTACCGGGCTCGGCACATCCGTAACCCCAGGACACAACACCCTGGAGCTCACCGTTGCACACCACGGGGCCACCGGAGTCACCCTAAGAGAGAGAGAAAGTTATATACAATTATTTATATCAATTGAACTGAAAAAGTCAATTTAAAGTCATGATTGTAGTGCCACTGATGGGAGGTCAGAGTGGTAAGTACCTGGCAAGAGTCCTTGCCTCCCTCCAGGTATCCAGCGCAGAACATGGCGTTTGTGATCATTCCAGGGTAGGAGTTGTTACAGTCACTGTAGGACAGGATGGGGATGTTCAGGCACTGAAGCTTGTTCTTGTCAGCGGCTGTAAGGAGAAGAAGAAAGAGGGAGGGAGGGAGGGAGAGAGGGAGGGAGGGAGTTATGGTTAGAAATAATGAAGTTGTGTTTTTAATAGTAGACCTACATTTTCCATGCCTCTACACACTCGGCCACCATGAAGATAACCAACTGGCACATGTAACCTTTGACCCAGGTTCTGTACTCACTGGAGCTCATGGTGTTGCCCCATCCAGAAACGGTGCACATGGTGCCAGCGGGGGCACAGCTGGTGGGCAGAGCAACAGGCTGCACGTAGGTGTTGAGGGTGGCGGGCTTGCTCAGCTTGATCAGCATGATGTCATTGTCGATGTTGTAGGAGCTGTAGTTGGGGTGACGGATCACACGGGAGGAAGAGATGAACTGCTCGCTACCCTCAGTCACCTTGATGTTGTGCTCGCCCAGACGCACCTCCACACGGCTGACAGATCGAGAGAAAGTTCCATTTGTAAGTTTCTTACTTTCACAGTTCATGTGAATATGGAGTTCACCTTTGTGTCATTTAGTTTTGCAAAAGTTAAGCTTATCAAATTGTTGCTAGTTGTTTTTGACTCAATATGTTGCTAGTAGTTCATATGGTAGGCTACTTACGATTGGTAGCAGTGAGCAGCAGACACAACCCAGTTCTCGTTGACCAGGGAGCCACCACAGAAGTGGTACCCAACGTTCAGAGACACCTGGTGGGGCTGGGAGTAGGCCTTGCACTCATACCCTCCGACGATCTTGTCGTCCTCCGTGGCGACTGTAAACAGAGAGCAGGCACATTCTTAGCTATATTACCTCACCTTTTGAGATGGAAAAGCATAGCACTATGATAAAACAACAACAACTTATTTCTTAATAACGTCAAAGAAGCAAATGTGTGATGTTAGTGTCATAACACAGTCCTGTTATTTTTTCTATGATCATTACTAGACTCACAAGCGGCTCCAATGAGCAGAACAAAGACCAGAGAAATCATGGTTGCTGTATGATCCTGTCGATGAAAGGGGTTAATCTGCACCCCTGTTATATATGCAGAATCGTCTGTGCGCTGTTTGATTGGTCAAAAGAAAGCCAATCAGAGCCAAAGGTTGCACTGCCAAGGTCAGCATTATGACACAGCAGTTTCCATCATGGAGTGGTATGAAGTTGACCATTAAGGCACCAAAAAGCTAAATATACGTTTTAAATAGTCCCAGTACTTTTTAAGTGCAGGTTCTTGCCGTCTGGATTTGATTGAATGTCTTACAGAAGAAAGTGATACATATAAAGTATTCTCTGCAGTTCAGACTTTATCTTGACCTCAACAGGACTGCAACACAGCTGTGGTTCACATGTTGGTATACTCTTGGAGAAGTCGAAAAACACAGGTTTGCAGCTCACAAGGCCTATTTTAGCTTTGTAAACAAGTAAACTGGGTTTAAGGGGTTTTGTTGGAAAGTCATACAAGGCTCTGGTAAAAAATTATAATAGACTCTATACCTTATATGTCCTTATATTGCTATTAGTTCAAGATGTATAATCATAAGTTCCTCCAAAAAATGTTTATACTGTATGCAGTTTATATACAGTAAAACACTTAAAGTAAGCACACGCTTGGGTAGTGTAATTTATTATATTAGGTATTAATACACGATTTAAACAAACAGTTGTTCCTTGACAGCAGATTAAAGTGTACACCCCGGCTCAACCCTAACCTTACCCATAACCTTAGCCTCAACCCTAACCTTAACTTATGAGTAAATAAGAGACTTGTTCATTCTAAAGTAATAACTCAGTAATAACAGTAATAGCAACACTGTAACGTCCTCCCAAGCCTTTAATCAGAGGTATGTGTTGTATGGGGATGTACAGTAGCCAAGACTCGCTTAATTATGGGGCTGTCTGTGGTGATAATGAAAGCATTTTCACAGCTCCTTTCTCAGGTATGTTTCCATAATGATAAAACCAAGATTAGCATTTCTAAACATCAATAATGGAAAAGAACAGTAGGGGAGAATTTGAAGTGATGATAACTCTCAATCCTCTCTTTTTTATTAATAAAAAACGAATCAACTCAAATCTACCAGTTTACCCAATTAAGAATATTGTTTATCCAATTCAAATTAATCAATCAGTTTACCCAACTCAAAATAATGTGTCCAAAAAATAAATAAAAAAATTGGCCCAACTCATAGTATTACATGTATCTAAATTAAAATAATAAGTTTACCGATCTATTTAATAAATGTTCTTGTTGAGATGAGATATTGAGTTAAGTAACAATAATACAATAATATTACATTCATCCATTTAAGTTTACCTAACTCAAAAATAATAAATGTATCCAACTCAAAATAATGTTTATCTAACTCAAAATAATAAGTTTACTCAAATTAAACCAATCAATCAGTTGACCAAACTCAATAGAAACATTTAACTGACTCTTAATAATATGTTTACCAACTCAAATTAATCAATCAGTTTACCCAACTCAAAATAACAACTTTATCTATCTCAAAACAATACATGTTATCCAACTCAAAATAAGACATCCTGGCTCAATGCACATTTTACAAACGTAACCCTAGCCTCAACACAAACAGTAACCGTAACCCCTGCTTTATGTTCAACCCAGGGGTGCGTTAAGTATGACAGAATGGTATGCAACGTTGAATTCAGCGGAAATGGTACTGTACTGAACAACCAGTTGAAAAACGTTGTAATTACGGTGGCCCAGATTACCGTATGATGTGTGCTGCACGAGTTCTGCGATTACAAATGGTCACACCCATATTGATCAGGCCACACCTCACCACACCCACCAAATGGGAGCAAAATGGGAGCAAAAGGCTGTTAAAGAACGATGCGCACCGGTTTGGGGAAATGTATCGTTCAGTACAAACAGACATGCAACGTAGCAAACATTGAAGCGAACTGAACACACCCCTGGCTCACTTCTAACCATAGGATTTGGTCAGATTCCTTATGTTGTTACCATATACTGTATGTAACATGTACCAGTAGCCAAAATGATTTTGTCTCATTACACAACAGTACGTGTTCAATAGCATACTGTAGCAGCAATATAAAAGTGCTGTATACAGAAGACTCACCTAATATAGAGTACATTTTGATTTATTATAGCAATGGAGAAAATACATAGCAGTTTTGTAACCCCCTGTAAAGACTGGGTTTAGTTTATTATGTGTGGCAAAACTCTTGGCTTTTAGGTATATATACAACATAACAGAATGTTGTATACAGTTGAAGTCGGAAGTTTACATACACTTAGGTTGGAGTCATTAAAATTCGTTTTTCAACCACTCCACAAATTTCTTGTTAACAAACTATAGTTTTGGCAAGTCGGTTAGGACATCTACTTTGTGCATGACACAAGTACTTTTTCCAACAATTGTTTACAGACAGATTAATTCACTTATAATTCACTGTATCACAATTCCAGTAGGTCAGAAGTTTACATACACTAAGTTGACTGTGCCTTTAAACAGCTTGGAAAATTCCAGAAAATGATGTAAAGGCGTTAGAAGCTTCTGATAGGCTAATTGACATCATTTGAGTCAATTGGAGGTGTACCTGTGGATGTATTCAAGGCCTACCTTCAAACTCAGTGCCTCTTTGCTTGACATCATGTGAAAAGCAAAATAAATCAGCCAAGACCTCAGAAAGAAAATTGTAGACCTCCACAAGTCTGGTTCATCCTTGGGAGCAATTTCCAAACGCCTGAAGGTACCACGTTCATCTGTACAAACAATAGTACGCAAGTATAAACACCATGGGAACACGCAGCCGTCATAAGGCTCAGGAAGAAGACGCGTTCTGTCTCCTAGAGATGAACGTACTTTGGTGCGAAAAGTGCAAATCAATCCCAGAACAACAGCAAAGGACCTTGTGAAGATGCTGGAGGAAACAGGTACAAAAGTATCTATGTCCACAGTAAAACGAGTCCTATATCGACATAACCTGAAAGGCCGCTCAGCAAGGAAGAAGCCACTGCTCCAAAACTGCCATAAAAAAGCCAGACTACGGTTTGCATCTGTAAATGGGGACAAAGATCAGACTTTTTGAGAAATGTCCTCTGGTCTGATGAAACAAAAATAGAACTGTTTGGCCATAATGACCATCGTTATGTTTGGAGGAAAAAGGGGTAGGCATGCAAGCCGAAGAACACCATCCCAACCGTGAAGCATGGGGGTGGCAGCATCATGCTGTGGGGGTGCTTTGCTGCAGGAGGGACGGGTGCACTTCACAAAATAGAGTGGGGAAAAAAAGTATTTAGTCAGCCACCAATTGTGCAAGTTCTCCCACTTAAAAAGATGAGAGAGGCCTGTAATTTTCATCATAGGTACACGTCAACTATGACAGACAAATTGAGAAAAAATAATCCAGAAAATCATATTGTAGGATTTTTAATGAATTTATTTGCAAATTATGGTGGAAAATAAGCATTTGGTCACCTACAAACAAGCAAGATTTCTGGCTCTCACAGACCTGTAACTTCTTCTTTAAGAGGCTCCTCTGTCCTCCACTTGTTACCTGTATTAATGGCACCTGTTTGAACTTGTTATCAGTATAAAAGACACCTGTTCACAACCTCAAACAGTCACACTCCAAACTCCACTATGGCCAAGACCAAAGAGCTGTCAAAGGACACCAGAAACAAAATTGTAGACCTGCACCAGGCTGGGAAGACTGAATCTGCAATAGGTAAGCAGCTTGGTTTGAAGAAATCAACTGTGGGAGCAATTATTAGGAAATGGAAGACATACAAGACCACTGATAATCTCCCTCGATCTGGGGCTCCACGCAAGATCTCACCCTGTGGGGTCAAAATGATCACAAGAACGGTGAGCAAAAATCCCAGAACCACACGGGGGGACCTAGTGAATGACCTGCAGAGAGCTGGGACCAAAGTAACAAAGCCTACCATCAGTAACACACTACGCCGCCAGGGACTCAAATCCTGCAGTGCCAGACGTGTCCCCCGGCTTAAGCCAGTACATGTCCAGGCCCGTCTGAAGTTTGCTAGAGTGCATTTGGATGATCCAGAAGAGGATTGGGAGAATGTCATATGGTCAGATGAAACCAAAATAGAACTTTTTGGTAAAAACTCAACTCGTCGTGTTTGGAGGACAAAGAATGCTGAGTTGCATCCAAAGAACACCATACCTACTGTGAAGCATGGGGGTGGAAACATCATGCTTTGGGGCTGTTTTTCTGCAAAGGGACCAGGACGACTGATCCGTGTAAAGGAAAGAATGAATGGGGCCATGTATCGTGAGATTTTGAGTGAAAACCTCCTTCCATCAGCAAGGGCATTGAAGATGAAACGTGGCTGGGTCTTTCAGCATGACAATGATCCCAAACACACCGCCCGGGCAACGAAGGAGTGGCTTCGTAAGAAGCATTTCAAGGTCCTGGAGTGGCCTAGCCAGTCTCCAGATCTCAACCCCATAGAAAATCTTTGGAGGGAGTTGAAAGTCCGTGTTGCCCAGCGACAGCCCCAAAACATCACTGCTCTAGAGGAGATCTGCATGGAGGAATGGGCCAAAATACCAGCAACAGTGTGTGAAAACCTTGTGAAGACTTACAGAAAATGTTTGACCTGTGTCATTGCCAACAAAGGGTATATAACAAAGTATTGAGAAACTTTTGTTTTTAACCAAATACTTATTTTCCACCATAATTTGCAAATAAATTCATTAAAAATCCTACAATGTGATTTTCTGGATTTTTTTTTCTCATTTTGTCTGTCATAGTTTACGTACATTGTACCTATGATGAAAATTACAGGCCTCTCTCATCTTTTTAAGTGGGAGAACTTGCACAATTGGTGGCTGACTAAATACTTTTTTTCCCCACTGTAGATGGCATCATGAGGAAGGAAAATTATGTGGATATATTGAATCAACATCTCAAGACATCAGTCAGGAAGTTAAAGCTTGGTCGTAAATGGGTCTTCCAAACGGACAATGACCACAAGCATACTTCCAAAGTTGTGGCAATCACAAAGCCCTGA